TGTTATATCAACATTAAAATGCAATATATCTTCTCGAACTTGCAGGCTCTAGATAGAGGTGCTGCAATGTTGAAAGTTGACAAGCTTGTCACTGGGCATAATGCTGACGACATTGCCGAAACAGTTCTCTTGAATATACTACGTGGAGACATTGCTAGGTGTTGTTGACTGTATCTTTTTCTACCATATGTGTTTGCCCTTCTAGATAACTTTTTATTGTTTTGGATAGGCATATCTGATTTTCTTCTGAGAGGAATTATTTTCTATTAGCTGACTGATTCTTGACCATCTAAATATAGGTTAGGCAGGTGCACACTTATAACCACTGGGGAAGATGGACCTATTCCAAGATGCAAACCCTTCAAGTATACCTACGAGAAGGAGATTGTCATATATCCTTGCCATCGATATGTGCATTTTGTATTATAGGAATTTTATTTTGTTTTGGTCTTTTTTCATTTTGTAATGGTAGTATTTTCTTGCCTCAGTATTTTTCATATTAAAATTTTCAATCCCCTCTCTCTCAAATCTCTCTAAAGAAATGTAGAGGTACCTTGACTGAAATTTACGTATGCATATTTCAAAAAGCTGGACTACTTCTCCACAGAATGTTAGTACTCTAGTCCTTGAAGTTTTTATTTATTTGAATAGTCAATGGAATATATGGCTTTCTTCGACCATATAAATTATGTCTGCACTGCCTATTGGTAAGATAATCACATTCTCTTCAAACAGGAAAATTAAATCACTTTTAGAAGTGATTAAATGCATACCATTCAATTTCTCTGATGATGGAGTACACAACACATTGACTAATAAAGAATTCTGGTGGTTGATTCTTTCAAAGATTCCAGATTAATAATGCAGAATCTTCTCTCTTTGCTAGTCCAACTCGCTTTGAACAGCCTATTGTGTAACATGTCTTATTTTGATATTAAGTTTTGGCTGCAAATATTAAATGTAATTTGTATTAAATTTTTTCATTATTATATTCCTTTCAATATTGCTTTTGATTGTGCTTGAAGTCAGATACGTGATAGTCATGCATTGTTTGTTCAGTTCTTGTTATTGATTGGTTTTAACTTAGCTTCGGGTCCTAGATTCTGTGTCTCAGATATTTGTGCTAGCACAAACCTTGTACAGAATCATACTAGGGCCTTGATTGAATGAGCCTACTCGTTTGTCTTTGTTTTCTAGCTGCATTGCAGAGAAGCTTAACAGAACAAGCCTTACATCTACAGCAGTGTGTATGTGTATTGTTGGATATCATTTACTTGAAAAAAAGCAACCACGTCCCTTCTATATAAATTTGTAGTACAAAAGAAAAGGGCAAAAAAATTGACCTTATAAATGATATCAATCAAACCATGAATAATTAAGGGAAATTTATATCAAGTTACCTATGAGAGATGAACAATTTAACAACTCACCTGTAACTTTTATTTAATTTCAAAATTCCCATAAAAAGAACACATGGTCTTGAGTTGGAATAGTTGCAAATGGGCAGGATATTAAATACTTCATCTCTAAAGGGTATTTTGAGAAATTTCCCATAAATTAAAGTGAGCTGTTGAGCAGGCCTTTGGTTTGACAGTGAGATACCTGATTTGCAGGACAGAGAACTACCTTTGTTTAGCAAACCGAGCCGACAACTAATAATAATAATAATAACTATAATAATAACAATAATAATAACAACAACAATAACAACAACAACAACAACAACAACAACAACAACAAAAAAAAAAATAACAATAACAATAATAATAATCATAATGGTAATAATAGTAATAGTATTAGTGGTACTTATAATATTAATAATAACAATAGTAATAAAAATACTACTACTAGTATTATTACTACTACTACTACTACTACTTAATAATAATAATAATAATGATAACCATGATCATGATTATGATAATAATGATGATGACTATGTTGATGATAATGAAGAAATATAAGCCGTCGGAATGTCTCAAAGAAAAATATACAAATGTTTACAACTTAGTAACTCAACGCCCACCCCATCATTCCCAAATAAAACTGGAGAGAAGGGAGAGTTTGTCCAATAAAAGATGCTCTTGATACTGAAATGTGAACCATATCTAAATTGCAATATTCATAATTGCGGAAATGAGCAAACCACGAGCATTTATCCAAGTATAGTGATGTTCAACTATTGAATAATTTTCTAGTTCGTGCAAGACCCAAGTCACCAAAATACAAGTTACTTGTAGCATTGATATAACAATTATACCAACTTCAGTGAGAAATGCTTTCAGCCATATTACCTATTTCCATGGATGCCTTCACACTTGGGTTGTCTGTCATCTCATTAGCTGTGAGATGCTAGTGAGAACACGATCATAGGCATAATGAGTGAACAATGACATTCTCCTTTCTGAGAAATGGACAATGTTGAGTCTCAATTATCAAGAAATGTTAAAAAAATCCATGCTCTTTATCTGAATTCTAGCTTCAAGTGCTTAATTAAGTTGAGGAATATCATATTAATCATCTCCATTATGAACAATGTCACTCACATATATGGCAAGGTCGTAAAGGATTGTCATGCCTAGCGGTTCATTGTTTGTCAAACATTCTAAAATGTAACTCTTAGAAATTAAAAGCATTTTCTCATTTAATTTTGTGGCAAAAAACTTTTGACCCATAAAGATACTGTATTTCTATTATGACTCTTAATGCGTAATAGTAATGAAACTTATTCTCACTATTGTACAATTGTGATGCAGGCATATACTCACCAAATGCATATCGTGGATTTGCCCGTGATTTTATCAAAGATTTGGAAAGAATCAGGTGGTTATCCAGCTTAATTGCTCTTTATCAATTAGTCACTGTGAATGACTGTTGCTGTATGCATAACTATTATTCTTGTTGCTCAATCTCTCTTGGGATGATTTTCCTTGCCTACTTCATTTGTCCATCTACACATATTCATGCATGTGCGGGACACCAATGCGGACATGCTCATAATCTTGCTTTTGTAGGCCAAGAGCCATATTGGACATAATACGATCAGGTGAAACCTTCAGGATATCTACCACTACGAGGATGCCAGAGCAAGGAACATGTGAAAGATGTGGTTATATATCTAGTCAGGTAATTGTATTTCTTTTCCTTCACATTCCCTTCCCCCAGGGGGCACCACATGGGGGGTGGGGTTGTGTCTTATATACTTTGACTCATTGGCCTTTCTTTCTGATGCATATATTTATAATTAAATTGTATTGCTTTTCCTTTTTCAGTTTACACTGTTCTTTTCCTACAAGGTTCAGTAATTGGAATTGGAAGGAATTTCTAATTACTTTGTGTGTGAGGTGGAATCTCCTCCAAACTAGTTTTCTTGGTCTACCTGCGGGAAATCCTTTAAAAAGTTAAATGGGCTTTTGGCCATCAAGAAGTACGAGGAGAAATTAGCTCCAAGGAGGGACAACTGTTTTTATTTATAGGCAGGCTGGTACTTTGTAATATAAAATATTGCTTAGTTTAATATCTTTATTCCAGATTCTGGCTAAGTAGCTCATAAGCTGGACATGATCCAGAGAGATTTTCTCTGGCAAGCGAATATTAAAGCCTTGACTTTTCATCTAGTGAAGTGGAAGGGTTGGTGCAAGTTGAATAGATAGATGTTCCTATGAGTTTGAACATGAGTGATGTTAATAGGTTTATAGAAGGTAACACGGGAGCAATATTGGGGTTGGGGAATCATGGAGGTGAGGAGATATAAAATGAGGTTTTAACATATTGGGAGAAATGGTGTCTATTGGGTCGCGTCCCGTAGAGAGAGGAGGCAAGCAATATCCACTGTTTGGAGGATGAACAATATGGGGATGCCATCTTCTGGATATTACTTTTGTGCATCTTTTCAAGCATAGTTTTGCATGGTGGGTTCTTTTAGATTTATTTGAAGAATCATGTATTACATCGACCACTTAACTGTGCTGCTGAGAGGGTAATCTTTGTCCCCGTCTTGTTAGAATTAATTCCCTCCAGAGTATGTGACCCTGGGCAATTCTCAGAATTGTCCTCCAATTGTGAAAATGTTTGACAGAATTTGCGATATAATCATTTCTTGGGCCTTTGTCCAAGAGGAACGCGATCTTATTTGCGAGTGGAAGTTGGGAGCTGAAATTTCCCTTGAAAGGATCATTACTAGAAGGGCCTCCCCCCATGTAGGTGTCCTTCGTGTTAAGTTCAACTACAACTTTATACATATTATGTGCTCTTTGGAGATTGGAGTCTCTTTATAGATAGTTCCAGAGCAGTCCTAGAGACTTGTGGCCTCTTCTACACCCAAACTCATGTGATTATTTGTTGGACTTTGAGCCTTACTTTTTCTGGCAGTTCAGCGCTAGGATTTGAACTTGGGATGTGGGGTTTGGGTAGTTTTGTGGTGAGATTTGAACATGGGATGCGGTGTTGCAAACATCAATGCCAAACAAATGAGGCCCAAGCCTGAATCTTACGCTTAATTTCTTGTTGAACTCTGAGCCTTACTCTGAGCCTTTTCACGGTCTTTTTAGGTCCTTATTTCATGGAATGAGTGTTATTAAACATTATTTAGTTGTTCTGCAGGACACTCCTTACCGATGGAGATGGTCCTTGAAATCTCCCTAATCCCTGAGCTAGTGTGTCCTTTTAACTTGTCATCCAGTCCATGAATGAGAAGGCTGATGCCTTAGCTAGATTAGGTGTTGAAAGGGTGTCTATGGTCTTTCATGATCCTGCTTTACGACTATATTGTTGCTTATTTGTAAAAGCCAAGTAAGTATTAAAGCTGATAATTGGTTCATAATTTTAATTATCCATTTAATGAGTTTATCATTGTCATAGGGTACTGAATAGTTTGACCTCAAGAATCAGTGGTAGTAAACAGCAAACCTGAGAAAGCTAATTATAATTATCAACTGTTGTGGACTCATGAAACAACAGAAAGGACTACTGGAGGAGATCTATGCATGGAACATGTGGAACGTTGTGATCCCTGTAACATTTACTTAAATAGGTGAGTGAAGGCATGAAATCTGTAATGATAAACAATAAGCTTCTACCTGAGAACAAGGTCACTGGCTATCAAAGTGATTGTGCCTGTCATCCATAAGAAACAATAGCGTGTAGTTAGACTTTTGACGATTGGGGAGTTGATCATTCAAGTGAGGAAGAAAAGAAGATATTCCATTTCGAGAAAAACGTAATATGATACATGATCATTGCAGTGGCAGTCCATGTTGTTCAACACAACCAAGAAGTTCACCATGAATAACGTAGGAGCCGAGTTTATTACTCTTATTGGGGGTGAAGGAAAACCTAATCAATGTGTGAAAGGCTTGGTTTATTAGGGGTTTAGTGGAAAAAGAAGTCATGACTTTTGAGAATTTCCCTAGAGCAATTAAAAGGCACTGATTGGGGCATGACCTGCCTACTCAATGAAGATGTGCATCCCTTGGGAAAATCCACTCGCACGTGTTTAGGTTTCTGAATCAACACGACATGTGGGAGAAGAAAAATCAGATACAAAGATATAATTGCTGAATGACCGATACAAAAAGACACCAGATTGTATGTAAACATATGGGTTTATTTAAGTTGTTAGATATTCTGCTGAACCCTCCGAGAAACTAGCAAACAAAGTGTGACTAGAGCTAGACGGAGGGCTTGCAGTTGAAAACTATTATGCTTTACAAAATTAGATACCACTAGTCCACAGCCTGTATGTGTGTGTTTGTGGGTGTGCGTGTGTCCGTATCCCTTGTTTTTGGGATGAATCCCTTAATCTGGAACTCTTATGTATATTAGATTTCTTTAAAGATTAAAGAGGTATAAATTTGATAAAGATGACGATTCCCCTTTTTATGAGATTGTATTTATAGAAATAAAAGTGTACTGATTGGTTATAAATAAATCAATGGCTAAGATGGTCTTATGAGAAGGACAAACACACATTTTAAGACAATTAGAAGGTGGTGGATATTACTACATGAATGATATGACAACCCAAAAGAAAAATAAAATAAAGGAGACTAGGATTGTATATGAATTTGCGATTCTGCTGGAGTTTTTTATACATTTTGCTGAACCTTTCTAGAAACTAGCGAACAAAGTTGAACTGGTGCTAGATGAAGGTATTGCTCTTTAGTAATCTTATGTTTTGAGTGAAAGAGAGGGAACTCATTATTACCTATACCAATTTAAGTCTGTGTGTCAATCTAGTCATCATATACTTAAGTGTGGATGTGTAGAATTACATTCAGGTTCCACTGACAAGCTGATTACCATGTAAAGGATTTCATACCGATACCAGTGACTTAAGAATGAGCAGATAATTATATGGTTTGTGAAAGGCGCTTTATTTGGGGTGATTTCTTTCATATCTGTGCAGAAATGGTGTAAAGCCTGTACTTTACTAGATGGGTTGAATAGGGGACTGCCAAGGCTCGGTATTGGTCGAACCAGAGGTGTAAACAATGCAAAGAAGGACGAGGAACCCTGCTCCAATGGTGAGAACCATGAGATGAAGGAGTCCCATGTTCAAAGCAAACCATGTGGGTCACTGGATTTCTGATTTGAACTATTTACTTCTCCAACTGGAGAACAAGGGTCCATGCAAATGAAGGATTTTAGTAGTCTCAGAAGTTGGACCCTGAGAGGGATTTTGGATCTTGGCTTTGTGGTCATGACCATGGGGGCCAAGCACAGCTTCTAAAGTTCAAATCCTGTGATTAAGCTCGATACTGGTAAATTATTTTTCTTCTAATCCTTCAGTTATTTCAAATTTGTGGTTATTTGCCTTTGTAACTATAACATTTATTGACTGTTGTTTGCTTCACTTAATTCCCACTGAAAACAATATATAGTCCAATTTTGTGGACAATGTCAATGAGTTATATTCTTCCCCCAGAAATCTGCATGAGTGAACTTTGGGCCTTAATATTACTTCAGGAATGAAAATGTCATGAACATCCTTTTTTTTTTGCTTTTTTTTGGTGCATGTTGATTCGAGCATGAGTTTGCTGTATGTGTTTGTGCATTTGAGAGAGAGAGAGAGAGAGAGGGGGAGAGACCTGTATTGGTGTTCTCAGATCATATTTTAGAACTGCCAGATCTGATTGCATGCATTCCAAATGTTTCATAATTAGTCTTTGCACTTGTGTGCGACGTGCTTTTATCAAAGCAGTTGTGTGAAACTCATTTTCAAGTCAGGAAAGCTTTTCAAATCAACCCCCCTCCTCTAGATAGTTACTTTTATAGATGAAAAACTCCAATGTGCCTGAGTTTTTGGTTGAATATAATTTTCTGCTGTTTCGGATCTTTGACAACTAAATGGCCTTTACTATTCACAGTTATGTATTTCTGCTTGGCCACCAAATTTGAATTGTTGACCACTGATTACATTTATATATCCATGTTTATGTTCGTGGGTTATGTGATGATTGTTCATGGAAGCGTGCTTTACCGTATCATTTGTGTTGTCTCAAGTCTTTGACAGCTAAATGGCCTCTACTGATGCATTAGTCGTTAGTTATCTGTTTCAATTTAGGTTTGATGGGGTGTTGGCTAGCGAGTTTGAGTTTTTGAAAAAGTTTATATAAGGACAATCTTATACCCTAGAAGGTAAAGGGGGGGGGGGGGGGGAAAAAGTGTATATAAGGGTGCAATCTTAAATCCAGTAGAGGAAAAAGTTTATATAAGGGTGCAATCTTATATTGTAGAAGTCAAAAAGGGGGGGGGGGGGGGCACATCAAAAATATCCAGTAGAGAACAATGTCTCAAAGTTGGGAAACTTTTCAAGTGATCATCTGGACTTCGAGATGTACGGATATAAAGAAAAAAAAATTGAAATCATAAAAATAGTGCATCTCATAACAAGTTATATGGACCATCAATTTTCAACGTTTTCAATTGTGTATAGATTTGCTTGATTATTGAAGATTTAAATTTTATAATTCAGGTTGAATTTTCAAGCCATTATAGGGTTATCTACATCTCTTGGCAAAATTTGGAGGGGCTACTCATATAATATAAGGTAAAGCACCTAATGCATACCTCATACATCTAATATACCCATGTTTGCATGCTGCTTGTGCGTGAATTGTGCGGTATTGATTTGCTTCCATGGGAGTGTGACCATCCAAATTACACTAATGTAGGTGATCAAGCGCGTCACATAGAGAGAGAAAAAGAGAGGTGATCATCCCTTCAAATTACACTAATGTAGGTGATCAAGCGCGTCACATACAGAGAGAAAAAGAGAGGTGATCAGGCCTGAAGCGAGAGAGAGAGGAGGGCGTTGGGGGGAGAGAGACTTGCTGAATGAGTGTTAAACCACCCAACTCGAGCCGGTTACCTGGCCATGAGCCTGGTCCGGGTAACTTGGAACCAGTTTGGGTAACCGGCTCAGGTCGGGCAGGTCCTAGCTAAGGCCAAAAAAGTATTTCAAAAAAAATCCCCAAAAAAATGACAATTCTGTTTAGGGAAAGGTTTCTATCCTTTCCTACAATATATAAGTTCTATCCTTCCCCCACCATCCAGCCGTTCAATTTTGATCAAGAGAGTCACTCACCATTTGATCTTAGATCCGACGTCTCAAAGTATTTTATTTTTAGTTTTTTTTATACAAATTGTATGAATATGAAATTTGGTATGTGTCATCTTCTCATTGGGGCGCACCTATAAAAAATATTACAAATATTTTTTCGATAAAATGTAATGACCAAAATACCTATTGAAGCGTTAAGAGGTATTTTGGTCATTTTATTTTATTGAAAATATTTTTTTTTATATTTTTCGCTAGTGCGAGTTCATTAGAGGAATGGACGTCTGAAATTTGGTGTCAAAATAGTTTATAAAAAAAAAAATTAAAAAATAAAATAGTGTAGAGATGTGACATTGTCATTGGGACAATCTTAGCCCTCCATTCAGAATGGACGGTTAGATAAGGGGCAAGATAAAATTTCTATGTTGTAGGGGAAGCATAGAAAGCTTGCCCTACGGTTTAAAGTATAATTAAATAAAATATTTCTAAATGAGGTTAAAGAAGCAAAAAAAATAGATTTTGAAAAATCAAAATTGTGACTAGGAGTATCTTAGAAATAATCTAAACAAGAAGTAAGAATGTAAAAAGAAGTATTCATGACCAAAATACTTTTCTGTCTTTGTAAAAATATTAGAAAATATTTTAGAAAAAAACACATTATAAATTAATTTCTTATTTTTTGGAATTTTAATAATTTTTTTTAAAACCCTTAGCTTGACCACCAGAACCAGCCGAAACTGGACCTGCTCAATGCGCAGGATTGGGTAACCTAGTTTAGATCAGGTCAACCTGATCGGTTTTGCAACATTGGCTCATACCATACGATTAGACTCTGCAAATGTTTGTGTATTTGTATATCGTTATAATCACCCATTTTGAAATTTAAGGGATATTGTGACCTTCATGTACAAAAGATAAATAGTCTCTTTGTAGGCAATCTATATTTAAAAAACATCGCAAAATTTTTAGATTTTCTCGAGATGTATTTTTTTTTTTTTTTTAATTTATTATTTTTTCTTGAATTGTCCTTAAGTTCGGTACTTCAAACACCAAACTACGTTTTCTTTTCTTTTTTATTTAACATAATCAAGTTCGATAGTCATACTAACCGGTTCCTAGTAAACAAAACAAAGATTTTGTTTGGCACTGACAACACCAAACTTTATTTTGCAAGAATATGTTTGACGTTGGCTGTATGAAACTGGTTTTTATTTAAGAAAAATTATAAAAACCCTCAAGAATAAACTTTCTATACAACTTACCCCTAACCAAACATTTTTTCCCACTTTTTACCTCAAAATATATTTTCGTAGCAAATACTCTCAAGTAAAAAAATGTACATTTTTTTTAAAAAAAAAAAATACCCTTTTTCATATATAAAAATTTATTTTGGCTGGACATTCACGTGAGCTTACACACAATACGAAAAGCTACATGGGCTGTTGAATTGCCATGTACCAATTGCCGAATCGCATTAAACTAAAAAAAGTGTCAGACCGCTTTCATTATCTGCCAGACCACATATATAGATTTGACAGACCGCATATATAAAAGTGATGAACAACCATATAGATATGCTGGACTGCATGTTTGTCTAGGAACAAAACTGTCGGACCGCCATAGGGATCTGTCGGGCCATATTTTGTCCAAGAAAAAAGTATCGGACTGCAATGTACATTTGCCAGACCGCAAGTTTATCTAGAACGAATGGTGTCGGACCGCCATGTATATATGCCGGACTGCACTTTTGTCCAGAAGAGAGAGATACGTGGTAAAAGTCAAGAAAGGGTAATTTAGTCTTTCTTTTATTTTATTTTTTTGGTTGGGGGGATTCTTGGGGTTTATTTGTAATTTTCCCAAGATTTTACTGAGTCCTAAGAATACCACACAAAATATTAAGCTAAGATAATAGATGGTACTCCTAATATTCGAAACTTAGTTTTACAATTGTATGGTTACAACCTTGGTTTGTTACTGTAAGTAACGAACTTAAAAGGCATCTTAGATAAAGAAATAAGCAAAAATTAAGTAGGGACATTCTTTCAAATGCGTTTATTATGGTATGGGTCACATTTTTCCAAAAATTGTGTGGAGACTAACCCCCACCCACGGCCCGACCATTTACGTCACAATAATTTTGTACCATTGGATGTGAAATTGGGTTACTTCATTTAATTCATTGACTAACCTCAAAGTTCAAAATAACTTATCTCAAACTTCATGACACACCTAAGATATCAGATTTTACTATCAATAGTTGTATATTAGATTTTACATCAATGGTTGTAAGTAATTGTAACCTCCCTATTCTAAAGGTAAATGGTATATATATATATATATAGAAAAAAGCTGGGATTAACCCACTAGCTCATATGAACATATGAGTCCCAGATTGAATCTGGGCTGATCTGACGATTACGAATGTCAAGTAGTGTTTGATTATTATTATTATTATTTTTACCAATCCAAATCACTTGAAATTTTAGGAGTGTGTTCATAAAAAATAGTTGAATCTTCAAAACATATAAAAAAAATATTTTAGATGAAATAAATTGATCAAAATACCCCCGAAAAATTCCATGGGTATTTTGGTCATTTTATTTTTCACGAATAATTTTTTTATATATTTTTATTAGGGGCGCCTTGATGAGAAAAATACACGTCTAAAATTTTAAGTGATTTGAATTTGTACGAAAAAAAATTAAAATTCAAACACGAAATAAGGTCGTGACCGTCAGATCGGTCCAAATTCAATCTGGGCCGTTGGGCTCATATTTTCCTATG